ATGGCGCGGCGCCAATCTCTCTTTCCATCACATCAGCCAGGAGTATCACAGTTTTTTATTTTAAGTGACTACTATTGCGTGGCTTCATATTTCATGTTTCCCTTATGAACCTTTGAAAAAAGCAATCCAGGGAACCAGCGAGGTCTCGAACTCGTTTGGAGTTCGATATTTTACCGGTGAACAACCTCGGTCATGATGAAGATGTTGTTCTTGCGGTCTTGTCGGTGAGGTCGGAGAAGATTTGTGAATTTTCTTTGTGCTTATAACAATTAAACTAAAAGATCATCTTTCTACAAAACTCTTAAAATGAACTTAAGCTAGGGATAAGGAAAGTAATCATAACGGGCAAATCGAATGGTGATCATTTCTCATTACTCATCATTAACCCCGTAAGCTGAAAACACTTGGATGAAGTTCATCGTATCAACGCAAGGAAAATGAATTCGCAGCAATAACATAACTCTCCATATTCCTTTCTAATTTTAACCATTGGCGTTCATACGTCATTGTTTTTAATTTTCATCAGTCATTAAAAATCTTGAGTAAATAGAGTTAGAACAGTTCCTGTTCTAGGTGGGAAATTTTTTAGTGACGGGTCTCATGGACCAAATGATCAGAGCGATGGCGTGTCATATACGACTGATAGAAAAACTAGTTAATCCAATTTAAATCTCATTAGAGATGTTGATGTTGTTGATTCAAGGAAGAAAAAGCCTTCAGAAGGATAAACTGAAACTCCGTTTTGTTCAGGAACTTGACTTCTACGCAATACCTGTATTCTTGAAAACAGCTGAATTACGTCAGCTGAACAGCAGTTAACGCAACTCAGTCGGAGGAATCGCGCAACGCTAAATTACTGTGTGATCTGAACAAGTGAGGGTATTCAGTTTAATACGGTCAGTTAGTGTAATGAGGTTATGAACTGTCTAACTCTTTGCCGAAGAACGCTAAATGAATAATGAATGACCTCAACACTCAATATTCAGTAGCGACACCGGATGTTGGCATATGACTGTGAACATATTTAATTCTTACGGATTAATCGAGACTGTTCTGCGACCGGAACATCGTGCAGATCCATCTTCACAAGATTTCAGCAAAGTAATACCCTCATTATCAAATAATTACTTTCGTTCTCATAATGACACATGTTCGTTATTTTTGCATACACATGAATGAATCACGCCTAGTGCTGGATAAGTATATCTTTCGTTTGTCATCTACTAATCCAATCTTGTGTTCCTCCTGTTCTCTGGCTCCACCGCTGACAAGGTAGTTTGACCATCAGGAGCAAGAGTGTTTTGTCGATCATTCAGCATTAAATATTTTTTGGGTTGACGCGATAGTCTGCATTTATATTCTCGGTTATTTTTACCCTGAGGCTGTTTATGCAAACCGTTGTTGGGCAGCACTGGGAGTGTCAACCCTCTTGCGCTACTGCTGATCTCTCCCCAGTTTTCAAACAGCCCAAGGGATTCAGAGAATTGCAGCACTCTATGAGATTTTGGTCATGGACAGATATCATTTGGCAACATAAACTTCTCAACCTGTAGGAGTTGGCAAGTAAAGTATTCATTTAAATTATTTAAATTTGTATTTTCCGTTTTATTCAAGGACAGTTGTGACTCATATGGAAGATGCTAGCGGGTTATTGATCACTGAGTGCAACTGAAACGGTTTCGTCGAAATTTTGATCTTCAGTTGCCCTGGTGAAAATTGGAGCACTACTGAGAACCGGTCGCCGTCATAAGCATATTTCCCACTGCGAGTCGCTATGATGTTTGACTGTAATTGGTCAACGGCGACGGTTCACAATTATTCACATGAACTCACGTGAACGGAAAACTAAGAGAACAACCGAAATCGTCATGCACCGGTTGCTCGCCCCTTGCATTCATATTGTTCGACATGCTATTTGCTGAGGCGACATTTCAACGTGCCATCGACTGGCACCGCCCTTTCAATGGATTCATGGTCAAAAGCCCTCCGTTGTAAAAGAGGTGCTCAACGAAGGACGGTCAACTCGTGGCCACTTGTAAATTTGTAAGCGTTGGTACTAGTTTTAAGTTTAGACAATGAAAACACACTACTCGTGCCATAAATTAGCGACCTCTGCGAACTGCCTCCTTAGTTAGACTTACTTCTGCTAAATGAGAATATTGTCAACTGTGCTTAGATTCGTAATATCAATTAAGACATCATGTCACCCATTATTAAAATTGACTGACGACCGTCCCATTATTCGGTAGCAATTGACGAAACTCTAGCAAACAATGCCTTCCTCTGCCGATAATGGGACCTCTACCGTTTCAGATGACAAATCCAAGCCAGATCAAGTGGATTCTTGCCCTTCTTCAAAGACCGCATGGATCACTTGCACCGTAAATCGCGTTGACCACAACACGTCCCTCATTCCTCAAGGTTTAGAGCCTTGTTTCTCAAAACGCGACCTCCCACAGCTCTAGGTATGATTTTCCCGACACTCATCACATATCGATGGTATGACTGAAAAACTGCGACCCTGGCAGAAACCACTCAAATGGGCTTTCTGAGAAGAATCGCTGGGATCACAATACCATACAGAGTTCTGAGTTCAGATATCCCAAAGAGTTTTAGTGTACAGCCCTTCCTCCTCCAGACTGAGAAACCACCGCTGCTGTGGCTTCAGCACATCTTGCGAATACTTCGTAAGAGGGAGGGGATTTAGCTATTACTGTTCTACTGCCGTGCTAAAGACTGGGTACGAAGCAAACAATGATCCAGTGCATGAGACTCGAAGGACTCTGCTTCATACTCTGATTGTCTTCTGCCAAAGCTCTGGTATTGCACAGGAGAGCGATTATTGGCGACACTTTCTGAAGATTCATCTTCCTCGACCCAAAACGACCAGCGTCATCGAAAGTCATGACTGATTGATTGATCACGCAAGAATGGAGCGCCAGAGAGATGGAAGGTTAATTGCGTGTACTCCTCGCAACAGTTATGATAGCCCTTCAGATTTATAACAACTGTGTGGAAAATCATAAAAGCTGTTTTCAAGTTCGAATAGTCAGTTATGTGGTCTCTTTGGAGAAGGATCTACGCAGCTCATGTTCCTTAATGGAGACACCAGTCCGTAAGTCATGCATCTGAAGAAGAATATTGAGTGTCTTGCCATAATCTTTGGAAACCCTTGCTGAATGTCCGGATCTTGTGCAGTCTTAGCTTTTCGACTGGTTTCTCCATATCCGACCTGCATAGCGGTGGTTCCAGACCTGTAGGTAGGCAAAACCTGAGGGCAGAATGATGTCTCCGCTTATAATTCTTTTCATTTCCTTTTTATCTGGGGAACACTTGGTGTCTGTTCACAAGAATGTTATCAAAACCAATCCTTGGCGTCCCCTTCACGGAATCGACAGCGATCAAACATAATTCAAGGTCGTATGGCAGGGTAAAACATGGGGGAATATGTTCTCC